TTGCTGCCTTCTCTTTAAATAAGCAGGATTTGCTTATAGACCATTCAAACAACTTTTTTTAAAAATCACACCTTAGGTCACAGGGAAGCCTAACTCGTGTCATCATGGTGGCGTCACATGATATATGACATTTTTCCCACTTCACTAAATGACGAGGGCATGGCCAGGGCGTGATGTATCTGGTCCGTGGGGTATGAGTTTGACAGCCTTGCCATAGGACAATCCCTTATTTGAGAAAATTAAGTAGGATTAGACCTAGTTTGGACTAGGATGGGAAATAATCTAGAAAATATCAGGGTATTGTCCACAGTATGGAAGAAGGCAATGGTGGACTACTTCCTTATACTCGTCCAGGAAGTTAGTGAACCAACTAGACTCAAGAGACTTAATTTTTTCTTTCATCTATTCCTGTATGCTCTCATAGGATTTTCATTGGTTTCACAAAATACAGATTTTAAAATACTTATGTATCTAATTTATATAACCACTGATCTCACAAATGGAACCACAATCCAATAACACTCAAAAACATAAAGTACACAAACCAGAAAATCCAGTCCAAGAAAAACAGAAGATAGGCATCAAGTTCCAACCTTGTCTAGAAGAGTTGATTTTAAATGCTTTTGGAAAGTAGCTAGAGTCAGGGTTAGTTTAACATAAAATCAGCCCTTTCATGCCTCAGTTGCCCACACCTCCTCAGAGAGGAGAACCACACACTTCTTGCTTTTCCTGGCAGGTTCAAGTCAGTGGAAGCAATTCTAATGTAGCCCTGAAGGTACTTGGTGCCAAACCATAAAGGACTTTATAGGTTAGCACTTTAAGTTGCACTGGAAGCTAACATGGTTTATGCAGCATGGATCTAATAAGTTGTGACTGCTGAATGCCTGATAATGCATAGGCCACTGCATTTTGGACAAAATGCAATGACCTTTAAAGGCAACCCTATGTAGAACACATTATAGTAGTCTAATTGAGTAGTGACAAGGTGATCTAATAAAGAAGTAGTGTTGATTTCTAACTACTTATAAATAGAATTATGTTTTTATATTATAAAGAGAACATTCTGTTAATGATATTTTAGGGGCATAAGTAAAATGACTACTTTCCCCCTGACATACATATCTGCCCAATGTAATTTCTATTTAAAAATAGCTGCTCATCTGCTAGTGCCAGAAGAGTCTCTAGACAATTCTGGATTGCAAATTTTAGTAGACAAAGCAATTCCTGTGCATAATTGCTTATCTGTTTATGTGTTTGCACAGTTACCAGTGTATTTTAAATTTTCAGTGCCCTAGCATTTTTAAAGATGCAGATTATGAATTTTTAAAGCTTTTAAAGTAACCTTTACTTACTGCCCCGATTTACTTTTAGAAAATAAGCTAAGAGACACTCTTTTAAAGTCTATTTTTAATAGCAAAGAGGCCGAAGGTGTTCAAAACTGAATGATCAAAAATCATACCTCTTCCTGAGCTTTCAAAAATGGAAATGTTGCAATGTTTGATAATATAGCACTGGCATCATAGTAAGAAGCAATGTGGTCTTTCAAGAAATAAGGAAATGGGAATACCTACAATCTATTCAAAGTATTTAAATTTGTATGTGAGATCTTATTTCTCTTAAATTCCTGAATTGTCTTCCTTTCTAGAAAAAGCTCTCATCCCTTTGATTCAAGTGAACTTTCTACCACAGTGATGATGTGCTATCAAGTCATTTCAACTCTTAGCACTCACACAGATTTTCTCCAGGGAATTCTACTTTAATCTGGTGCCTTAGATCTTCCCAACAGGGCACCCAGTGCCACTGTCACTGAATTTATTGATTTGATTTAGATAGTTGCCATCTCACATACGTAATTCTGGGCAGCTTACAAAATGAAAACACAATACCCAAAAAAGAAAGGTAAAAATAACCATACAGGGTTAGAAACATTAAAACAATGCAAACACCATATAATCAATGCACAAGCATAGTCAATTCAGCAACAGAACAGCCATTTATAAGGCTACTCTTAACTGATCCCCAGTCCAGATAGCCAAGCCAGCTGTTCAGGCCTTTTCAGAACCCTGCCCTAATCTTGGGGGAAATGGTAGGTATAGTAGCATAAAAGAAGCACCTGGATCCAATCAAATGACCCCCTCTAATTTTAGGAACTTGCTACTGCTAACAGGACTGCTAGATGAAATTGGGGAGAAGTGGCCCCTCAAATAACCTTCACCATTAAGCTTATGCAAGATTGCAATGTACAAACTCAACCCACACATGCTTTTGATAACTCAATAGTGTGAGTTCATTAAAAAAAAAGATAATGTAACTCCAAATCTATGCAAGGCACAAAGCTATAAAATGTCGATGTTTTCATATTTCCTCATCTTAATTTTTGCAATTTGTTATCACCCAAAAAGCAGGCCACAAGTTAATATAAACTTAATTAGTTATTGCCTTAATTTTAATACAATATTGGGAGGCAACTTAAGACATCAGGACGTTGATAAGGCTAGCTAGCATAATCCACAAATTGCATGAATCATTTTAGAGGCACTGTAAACTGGAAAAATAAAATGGTTAAAACTCACTAGGTTATGAATGATCCTAAAACTTCTAGTGGTTAAATATNCGGCAAATGTTTGATATGTACACGTTCGCTCTTTTTTGCTTCAGATCTTGCTTCACTTTAACTGTTTTCATTTCATGTCCAGTAAAAGTACCTTTACTTAAATGGAGTTGGGGTTTTTTCTTTCTTGGGTACTGAATGAGGCACGCCTGTATCTGTATCATGAGAAGTAAATTGACCAGCAAGCAACCAGCCTGGAGTCAGGCAGTGAATTCTCCAATTAAGTGAGAGATATTAACCAGGAGAGATGGATTTGCGGCCCTTCAAATGTGGCCTGAACCATGAACCCAGCATTTTACTTGTTTGTTTACTGCATTTACCGCTCATCTTTTCTCCAGCAGCTTAAGGCAGCTGAGAGTGGGAACTCAGCGAACTGCAAAGTGAGAGGAGGAGCCAACCAACCAGCTTAAAGAGAGCAGTTGTCCCACCCCTTACTTTCTGCAGCACACTGATTGGCAAGTCATTTTTCATTCCCGTTGATGTTTGAGGGAAAGGGGGAACATGGCCAAGTCAGAGGAGGCTGTTTGGTGCGGAATGAAGGATGAGCGAATAGCACTTTTTTAAAGGGCAAGTTGCCCGGAAACGAAAGGTCTCCCTGGGACCAACTGACCCAGGACCTTGGTGGTTTTGGGAAGGGAGGGAGGGTGGAACTGATCCAGCCATGACATTTTAATGCAAACTCGCACGCGGTGCCGTCCTTTGTGCAATGAAATCATCCCAATGACATCATGTTGGCATTGTTGTGGCTTCCTATGTGTGCTTTATTGTCAGGAACCTCGGTTTGTTTTCGAAGAGCAGCTGCGTCTTGCCACCCGCTGCACTGCCCTGATCTGTGGGGATGCTGATAGAATAGAATAGAATTATTTAGTAGCCAGTGTGATTGGACACACAAGGAATTTGTCTTTGGTGCTTATGCTCTCAGTACAATTGTACAATGTACATACACATATACATCTTAGTGTACAGTGTGCACCCAGTGATGGCTGGGTGGATGGATTTGGAGAAGCAGGCAGGCAGAGCCTCCCATGAGTATCAACGGGGTAACGCGTTGTCTGACCGAAATCCGCAATGAAAGAAGCTTGCCGCTGACCGACCCCCCCCCCCCCCCCCCCACATCCCACGGTCCCTTTTTGCGCAGGCTCAGCCTCCCCCTCCCTCCATCATCCCCGGAGAAGCATGCCCACCGGAAGTGCAGCTGCAGCCACTAAGACAAGGTGGCTGCGCTCGAGGCTGAACCTGTGCTCCCCGCGCGCGAGACTTGCCGGGGCGTGCTCGCCCTTCGCCGGGGTGCCGTCCGGGCAGACCGCGTCCAGCAGCGGGAGGAGGAGGAGGAGGCCACCCTTTCCACAGAATCCGTCCCGGTCAAGGACGAGGCACACGGTACCGACAAGAGGAAGGCGCAATGCTGGAGGAGCGGTGGCGGCGGCTGCAACCGCGCGCCCCTGCCCGGAGAAGGGAGACGCGCGAGAGTCGCTCCCTTTCCTCCAGCCTTGCCGGCCCGCTCCCGTCTCCGTTTTAAAGTTTCGGGATGGCCGCCCCTCGGATTAAGCGGGAGTCTCGCGTTCCAGCCGGGCTGCCGAGGAGAAGGGGAAACCCGCGCCGCGGAGGGTGCCGGAGAAGGCGGCTCCGCTGAAGCCAGCCTACCATGCCGGAATGGGGGGCGCCGGGCTTGCGCACAGCTTGAGCTCGCCGCTGCTGCTGGGCGGGAGGACGGCGCTGCGGTTTGGGAGCGAGGCCGGGAAGGGGGTGGGGACGTCGCTGAGGGGGACATGGGTGCCAGCAATGGGGGCTCCAGAGTGAGAGCCTGTCTCCTGGGTGGGAGAAGCCTGAAGAGGAGCCCGGCAAGGCGAGACAGCGGCCGCGGCCGTTGAAGAAGAAGAAGAAGCGTCTCGTCCCTGCCCCTGCCGTAGCTGTGCTTGAGCGTCGGGAGAGAAGGGAGATTGTCGCCGGCCCTGCTAGATGGCGAACTCCAGCGAGTTGGGAAGCAGCAGCAGCAGCAGCCCCCACCTGCCCAGCCCTGGCAGCCTCCTGGGCGCCTCTGGCCTGAAGCTGGCCTCCCTGGGCTTGATCCTTTGCCTCAGCCTTGCTGGCAATCTGCTCTTTGTTTGGCTCATCCTCAAGGACCGCCACTTGCACCGGGCCCCTTACTACTTGCTCCTGGACCTTTGCCTGGCGGATGGCTTGCGCTCCCTGGCCTGCTTCCCTTTCGTCATGCTTTCGGTGCACAGCGGGGTGGGCTTCTGGCCCCATGGGCTGCTCAGCTGCAAAGTGCTGGCTTTCCTATCGGTGCTCTTCTGCTTCCACGCCGCCTTCCTGCTCTTCTGTGTGGGGGTGACGCGCTACATGGCCATTGCCCACCACCACTTCTATGCTAAGCGCATGACCGGCTGGACCTGTTTGGCCGTGGTGTTCATGGTGTGGACGCTCTCCATGGCCATGGCCTTCCCCCCTATCTTTGACGTCGGCACTTACAAGTTCATCCGTGAAGAGGAGCAGTGCATCTTTGAGCACCGTTACGTCAAGGCCAATGACACCCTGGGTTTCATGCTCATGCTCGCCACGGTCATGGCGGCCACCCACCTGGTTTACGGCAAGCTCCTCTTCTTCATTCACAGCCATCGCAAAATGAAGCCGGCCCAATTGGTGCCCGCCATTAGCCAGAATTGGACTTTCCATGGGCCTGGAGCTACTGGTCAGGCAGCTGCTAATTGGACGGCTGGCTTTGGCCGGGGTCCTACCCCTCCTACCTTGGTGGGCATCCGACAAAATACTACTCATAGCCAGATCAAGAGACTGCTGGTCTTAGAGGAGTTCAAAACGGAGAAGAGGATTTGCAAGATGTTTTACATGATCACCCTCCTATTTTTGCTTCTCTGGTCTCCCTACATCGTGACTTGTTACTTGCGTGTCTTCACCAAAGCCAGCACAATCCCTCAGATTTATTTGACCATCTCAGTCTGGATGACCTTTGCCCAGGCAGGAGTCAACCCCATCCTTTGTTTCATTTTCAACAAGGAGCTTAGAGTCTGTTTCAGATCTCACTTCTTTTGCTGCCAAAGCATCCAGAACACTCAAGGCACAATTCTGTGTGATCTGAAGAACTTGAGGATATAATTCATTTTTTCCTTAAGAAAGAAGGGAAAAAAGTTTAAAAATGTCTATGCTTATTCTGGCATGTGCACTTGCTAATGATTATCTAAGCAAACCCCTTGGCCTCGCCAAACCAGTAGTTTAAAATAGGGTATTTATATTCCGTTTTGATCGGAGGGGGGTGGGGGTGGGGAATCTTTTATGTGTTTCTGGAGGGTAGGAAAACAAAAAAACAAGACAAAGTCCATTTTTCCCCTCTGTTCTGAATTTCTACAGATAATTCTGACATGGATTAAAGGCCATAATTTTGTGTTAATTTTTCTTCCCAATCTTGCCAGTTTTGATAAAGGTTTAGCAATTTTATTCCTTAAGTAAAATTTGATAAAAGGTCAAGACAAAATTTTGTAGTAAAGTTATTTTTTGATGACTTCAGAATCTTGTATTGTAATATTTGTCTTTCAAGGGCAGTGGAGATGGAGGAACTGAATCTAGAAGTCACTTCTTTGTAGGGAGACTTTGGGCTAATTTTGTTTCAGTTCTTAAAGGTAATCACCTGGCCTTGCCTAAAATACGGAAACTGTCTTATCCTGATTATACTAGAATCATTAGGTCATTTCCTAATAACCTAATGAACATTGTGTCACCTGATCTGATGTAGAACTACTTTAAACTTTCTTGTTGTACTGTTTCTTTGATAGTGTTTCAGAAACTTAATGAAAAATGGTAATTTTAAAAGAAAAAAATGATCAACTTTTAAAACTGTATCAGGTTTTTAAATTATACTGACTTTCATACTTTATTGGCTTTATAAGTTCCTATCTACAAACTGGATAACACTTGTATGTCTCAACTGTTTTAATAAAACACTCTCCAGTTTTTGTACATACATGAATTTAAATGTCTGGGTATGCTTTGCTGCCTTCTCTTTAAATAAGCAGGATTTGCTTATAGACCATTCAAACAACTTTTTTTTTAAATCACACCTTAGGTCACAGGTCATAGTATAGGGATGCCTAACTCGTGTCATCATGGTGGCATCACATGATATATGACTTTTCCCCCACTTCACTAAATGACGAGGGCATGGCCAGGGCGTGACGTATCTGGTCCGTGGGGTATGAGTTTGACAGCCCTGCCATAGGACAATCCCTTATTTGAGAAAAAAGTTGTTTGAATGG